AGAATTCTAAAATTGTGAATATAGATTTTAAAAATTATGAATATAAAGTTTTGCAATTGTGAATATTGAATTCTGTAATTTTGTATATTGAGATCTAAAATTGTGAATATAGAGTTCAAAAATTGTAATATAACCCGGGTCAATAGCATAATTTGCCTACTACAGGATTCTAATCCAATTACAATATTTGTTTGCATAAAATTTTTCTAAAACCCGTAGCTATTACTAATTATTACTTGATCCTTAATCCAATTCCAATTACCCTAAGTTATTTAATAACTTTTATTTGGTCATAAATCATGTCTTAATATTATTTTTAACTAATCCATTTGGACATTGAAAATAACAATGTTAATTCAAGAAAAAAAGGATTATTTTATAAATTTATTTAATGGTTGAAAAGGAAGGGAAAAAAAGTTCATATTAGTCTAGTCAATATTCAAATTGTTTCATTACTTTATAAAATATAAAAATTTTGCATTTTAATGGCATTGAGTGTTAAAATAATGGTTTAATTGAAATTATTGAATTCGTTTAAGCTTCAATAAATATTACCCCAAAAAAAGTATGAATAGAATCAATGAAATTCAAGTTTATTTCACCTTTAATTTCTTGATTATAAATATATTTTCATCTTTAGTACAGTTATCGATTTTGATTTATTGAACTTTTATTCAAACAATATATTAATAAGTTGAATTTGTATATATTCTGCTCAAAAACAAAAAGCATGTGGCTAAAACTTGAATGGGTAATAGTAAATCAGCTGGATCCTGTACTTGGCATAGCTGGTATATCATGGTAATTAATTTGTCATTGAAAATTAATTATTATTCATTTATTTACCACCTTTATATACAAGTACAGTCAACTTGCGTGGATATATTAATTACAATTTCAATATTAATCAGGAATCTCCCAATAATTAATTATACTTAAGATGATAACAAATAGCAAATCCTTGCCATGAAGACTGGTCAAACCTTAGTACATACACATTAGAATCTTTGCTTTTCTCAATTTTTTTTAAAAAATATTTATTTGAAAATCACATTTGCTTCATTGAGTAGTTCTTCCAACATTGAGTTTTAATTATTTTTTATTTTTTTTTATAATTTTAAATTAGAGCCAAGGGAAATTTATATCATGGACGAGGGTCCATATTGCATTATGGACCCTGAATCGAAACAACGACGTACGTAATTCATACGTGCAAGGTACAAAATTTTATAACACAAGACACATACACATGTTATACATTTACTTATTTTTCAAATCTGTTATAGGTACATAATTTGTGTTCATAGGCACAGAATTTCACAACACAAGACACATGAATTCATAACATAAGACACAATTACTAATTTGTGTGAGGTACATAATTTATACTTTGAAAGTACAAAATTTCATAACATAAAATACAAAAACTCACAACATAAAATATATACATATGCATCAGAGTCTACACTACAGTGCTCTGAGAACTGGTCCATGGTATAAGGTTTGAATCAATTGACTAAAACATATAATAAAGTGAGTATTAGATTGGGAGTTTGGGATAAAAACAGCCCAACAAAGGTAATCTTATTGGACCCATTTTTCATTCGCACTGACAATTGACATACATGTGATCTGACTTCATAGGACCACTAATTATTGCAGAAACATCATAAAATCATGCACATATAGCTGGACCAGATTCATGTGACCTAATTCTAAATAAAATATTTTTTTACATTGAAGTTAAATAAACCAACATTATAGTATGATGGTGTGTTTATTGACCGCAAAAATTCTGTATTTAAAATAATAATAATAAAAAAAACATGAGAAACAAAAGCAAGAAAATAAGTTTATATATACACTACAAATAGTGGAGAATGAAAAATTCGATAATAGAAATGAGAGAACTAAAATAAACACATTAAAATTTTCTAATTTTAAAGCAGAAAGAAATATGGAAGAAGTAACATGTATCTACTTGTATCTTGGCCCCCCTACCATACTTGTCAGTTTTAACTGAACAAATTTTGCTATTCTTTGGAGATGAACCCATGAGCTAAAACCACTATATTAAAAGCTATAGTTCACAGCAAATACGCAACTTTATTTCTTTATATATCAACACCACATTTTCAAGAGATTGTGTGCTGAATTTGGCCTCTCACCGATCTCCGCTCAACAATTCTCCTGATCATCAATTGTTCGACTTGTCCAATCACCTTCCACCCAACATATTAAGGGTGTATTTGGTTCATGGGTTTACACACTAGGAATGTTAATCAAAATCATAGTTAGTGTTTGGTTGACAATTTTTTAAAATACAATTATGTGATTTGATTATCCCTTCAATTAAAAACATCATTCCCTAATTAAAAAAGTATCATTCCATCTCATTGATAATATGATTTTTAAGTTTGAATTAGTGTTTTTAGATTTTGGTTTTGATTTTTTTTATTGGTTCATATTGGTGCTTTAGATGTCATTATATCAGGATCAATTGTTTTGATTTTTTGTTTTTGTATTTTTAAAATATTTATTACTGTCAAACACCTTGTGCTCAGATGACATGCAGTGACTTTCCCATATGGAAAGTCATAAGATCAAATATCAGTGGAGGCGATGTTGATTCTTTGTGCTTCAACATGTATAGATATTACAATGTAATATCAATATTTGTAATCATTCTGATTTTACCCTTCTACTAAAATGCAAAATAACCAAATACATCCTAAATAATACTTTTGAGTTTCAATCATAAGTAATAGTGCATGTTTCAGTGAGCCTTTTCACGTGAAACTCGAAAATAATTTAGTTTAAGAGTGATGAAATTATGACACTAAAAAAATATTAAAGAAATCATCAGAACCAACAAGACTGTTAAGAATAGTTTAATGATCCACCAACGGTTTATGGGCAGATGAGATATGGAGTTTCAAGAATCCGTAGGATTATTCAAATCATATTGCACATTTCCCATCTGATAGATGATACATACAATAATATATAAAGTACCTTGTCATAAACTCTCATCATATCAAATAAGTTTGAATATTCCTATGTAAAACTACTGGCTGGATCTCAATTTTTAACCCTCTTTATCCACAGTAATTACTTCTTTCCATGTTGATTATATTAGTGAGAGTTTACTTTTTATTTTTCTTTTTAAATATTAGTAAAATTGTTACATTACTTTTTAAATTTTGGGTCGTTTATATTTTAAATTTTTAAACTTTAAAGAACGTTCCGGTCCACTTTTAATTCTAAATATCTTAAACATTCTTGAATTGTTTTGTAAAATTTTCACCAAGCCCCATCCTACTATACATAAGGGTACTTTGGACATTTTGAACAAAAAGTAGAATTTTTTTTTTTGAATGCTACTGACTCTATTATATTTGTTCAAACATACTTTCTCAACCTAATGAAGAAGCACACAGAGTCAACAACGCCTCTACTGAATCTCGACTTCATGACCTCTCACATGGCCTATACTTGGATTATATTAGCATCTTGTAGATCATAAGAAGATTAATCTCATCAATTTTCGATTAGCATCATTCGGGAGAAGCTCTGATCTTCCATATGAGTTTGAACTCATAGTCTCATGTTTAAACGGTTTAAAACCTTTTTCACTTGAATAAACATTTTTTAGGTAATGAAACATTTTTAAAATAAAAAAAAAAACTAAAAGTGAAACAATACAAACCAAAAGTCAATAATCAAAAGCGAAAATAACACTATAGCCAAAATAGTAAAAAATGAAATATACTATAATTTTATGCGTAATAAATTAATTATAAATTGTATACATTAAAATTCAATCAAATATTGTAATAATTACAACAAATACTTAACTAGTTTTTGTTTGTTTTTATTGAATAATTCTGTCATCATCATATTTGAAATGGTAACAGATGTGTCATCTGATTAGATAGTAGTTAGTAGTTGGTAGTAATATTATTTAATTATATATGTATAAAAGAACTTTTCGGTGCAATACACGTGATTCTCAACTCTCAAGTCATAAATCATCTCTTTTAAAAAAGTAACAATAATAAGGGTGTGTTTGGTTCGCACATGAGAATCGAAATCGAAATGACAAATACTTGGTAATGGTAATGGGTTTTGGAGAAAGTATTTTACATGTTTGGTAGTAGGATGAAATTGAAATGATTACCAATATTGTTGTTTGGTTATGTATGATCCTATAATGGAAATAAAGGTTTTAAAAATACAAGAATAAAAAATCATGACAATTTATTCTAATATAAAAACACCTAAAACAGCAATATGAACAAATATATATATATATATATATATATATATATATATATATATATATATATATATATATAAGTATTAATCCAAACTTAAAAATCAAATTACCAATTAGGAGGGGAATAATGATGGAATGAAACTCTTATTTTATTAGGGAAAGAGTTTTCTAATTAAGGGGTAATCAAATCGCATAGTAGTGTTTTAAAAACCTATCAACCAAGCAATAACAATCAATTTGATTCACATTCCTGATAGTTAAACTGAACCAAACACACCCTAAGTCATAAATCTTTTTTTCTTTTTTTTTTTTTAAAGAAAATCTAAGTCATAAATCTTCTAAATCTAAGTTTAATCAAAATTATCCTATAAAAATGATTGTGTGTAATTATATGATTTGAAAGGATGAGTAGTAATGTTTGAGTGAGTTTTGTGATATATAGTAGCAAAGCAAAGAAACAGGGTGGTCAACACCATTGCGAGCATCTCTCAGCATTGTCTCCCCAATTTTCTATAAATACAAAATACCAAACACATCACCCAATTGCTTTTGTCTACCCTCATCAACCAACTCCTCCCTCATTTCACTGTCCATTACATACCTTCACACACTCCTCTCTCTCTCCCTCTCTCTCTCTCTCTCTCTCTCTCTGATCCTAAGCCACACAAACTAACCCAAATTTGGGGAAGAAGAAGAAGAAGAAGAAGAAGGGGGTTCTTGAATGGAGTACTACACGGATGGGAAGTGGAAACTGTCACAGGATGACCCAAACAGCCCTTCCTCGTCTTCCAAGCCGGCGGCATTAACGATGATGAGGAGCATGTCGCAGAGGGGCGCCGGCGCCGGCGCCTCCGCCAATCACCCTCCTCTTCCAAGAAGTTATTCGCACAGGAACCCGGCGGAGGCGGCCGCCTCCGCCTCCAAGTCCGGTACTAACTTCGGCCGCAAGTGCAAGAACTTGGCCAAGGAACAGAAGGCCAAATTCTACATTGTCAAGCGCTGCATTGCCATGCTTGTCCGCCGGAATAAACACCGCCACGACGACGACGACGACGATTCTTGAATCAACCACTTGCCTATGCTGCCATCAGTACGTGACTATATCGGTAGGACAGATGTACGGTCCAGATTGAGACTATGTAATTTCAATCACATATATTTAGTATTTTTCTTTTTTCTTTTTCCTTACTATATATATCCTGGTAATCATATCATGCTAGACGAGACTAATTCAGTTGAGTTTCAGTCGAACTTCAATTGGAGTAACTCTTCTAAAAGTAATATTGCATACACACCGGTTAGAGGTGTAGTAATATATTTTTAGTCAAATATATACACTATGTTTTCAAGAAAAAAATTACAATATAATGTCGTAAGTTATAGGTCTTGTTTGGTAAAATAGTTAGTCTGGTCAATTTTGATTTATTTGACCACTATTAGTTATTTTTGTGGTTTAAAAATCAATATAAGTGTTTGGTTAATTAACTTTTTATACTTCAAAATGCTAAAATTTAAAAAGTTCAATTAGCTTTTTGAGAAAAGAAATTATACCAAACAGTTATCAGCTAACAGTTAATTTACCAAACATTTTTCTATAATCAGCTAATGTATCAACTAATTATACCCTCTAATTAACTCAATCAGCTAACAACCATTAATAACCAAGCATGACCATAATATTGTACATTTTGTAAAGTTATATCTTATATTTTATAAAGTATACTTTCTTCGTATGTACTTCTACCAAAATACAAAATATGTCTAGAAAATGATAAAAGTAGGTAGGGCATAATAACATATTTTGGGTCTGAGTTGAGTTTAATCAATACATATTTTTGTAATAATGGATGTGAATTTTTTCCCTCTTGGTAAAACACAAAAATTGTCATATTTTTTAAAATGAAAAATGGCATATTCAGATGATATTATACAAATCCCTAATCACATCATATCACATGGATGCCACTAGTCGAGCTAGCTGTATGACTCTATCTCTCTCTGTTGCTGTTTTTGGGTAGAGAAAGATTCCTCGTTGATCTACCTTGGGAATACAAACCATTGTCCACTCTACAAAAAGCAAGAATGGGGATCTGCACAAATAGATTACCTAATTTACAAATCATATGATGATGACAACGTCTAAACCTTAACCTCCGCAAATATGTAGGGAACAATAATGCTATACACAACAAATTTGGTCAATATTAGTCTTCTTCATTTGCACCATTCAACCAACTATGACTATGACTAATTTAGGTTGATTTACCTTATTATAACTTTTTAGTGACTAGAGTCATAAAATTAGGTTTATCTAGTGTACATTCTCAAGTAGTTAGGCATGATCGGGTCACAAAATCAGTTATGTTTTAGTTCAAGTTCTGAACCGCGTGTTCAGGGTTCCGAAAAATGATAAACCCCGGAATTATTTCGTTTTTAGAAAAGATCTTATTTGAACCGCGCACATGTTCAAACTTTTTTTTTTTATAATTTTATATTTCGGACCGAAAAAAATGGAGCTCTTTGTTTAATGCAGCCGTGGATCATCATCGTCCATCTTTAGATTCCTCAGCCACGCCATTTTCTACCATTCTTGCTTTATCTTCTGTGCTTTTACTTTACCAGTCAATTATGAGTAATATAGGCTAGTTTATCTTCTTATAACTCTTTGTCGACTATATGATTACAAAATCAGATTACCCCATGCACACCATCATGTAGTAATTGTGATTTTCCCTTGTCACCAAAAAAAAGAAAATAAAAAATACAAAGGATTAGATATATAACATCTCATTAATTTTTCTTCCAACATATTATTTATGACGCATATTATTAATTTTTTAAAAGATTTATTGGTGAAAAAAAAATAATGTTGGATGGACGACGTCAAAACCCTACTTGGTCCTATCATGCTGACTTGTCTATTAGTTGGTAATAAATCGGTCAAAGTACTTGCTAGGTCCTTGTACTGTAGCGTTTTGTTTATTTTAGTCCTTGTACCTTAATTTTGTTCAATTCAATCCCCATGTACTTTAAAATTTAGAACAATTAAGGACAAAACTTAACACCGTTTATTTTTTCCATTAAGTTTGCTCACGTGGCGTTCGATTTGCCATGTCAAATTTTGTGATATGGTATTGCCATGTCAACTTTTATGGTGTGACATAAAACAATATTATTTTTGGACAAAATCTGACATGGCAAATCGGACGCCATGTGGACAAACTTAATGGAAAAAATAAACGGTGTTAAATTTTGTCTTTAATTGTTCTAAATTTTAAAGTACAAGGATTGTATTGAACAAAATTAAGGTACAGGGACTAAAATGAACAAAATGCTATAATACAGGGACCTAGCAGGTACTTTAACCTAATAAATCTAAATATCTAGCTTGTTATTGGTTTTCCATGGAGTATTATATCAAAGCAGGTCAAGTTATTAATCTTGTTACCTAGCTACTCATTTCTCTTACTCATAAAATCTTTTTGTCTGCCTTACAAACTCTCTTTGTATATCTCTTTAATTTGATTCTAAAGAATATACAGTTTCAACATACAGATACAACAAAATCTCTCTAGTAGATTTTTTGCTTGTTCAAAATGGGAGTTGTGTTTGTCCTAACATTAATATAATTTTCTTTCTTTTTTTACATTTTCTTCCCTTGCAGATGTTGAAATTATATCGTGCACCAGGACGCACAATGTATTGTACGCCCGGGCCAAAACGACGCCGGTTTCTGTTTCTACTGTTAACTTCTAAGGTTTTTTTTTTTTTTTTTTTTTTTTTTTTTTTTTTTTTTTTTTTTAATTTAAATTCCATCTTTGGGATGTACAGAATTATATAATAGAATATACATAAACTCCTAACATAATACACATAAACTCTTAACATAATACACATAAACTCTTAACAGAATACACATAAACACCAGTGTTAAAAAAACAAAAAACTGTAACGGGATTGGACGGACGGAATGGTGTCCGTCGTGTCAATTCTCCACACAACTTATAAAAACGGCGTGGTTTTGGACCAGGGCGCACAATGCATCTTGTGCCCTGGTGCACGATATAACGATTGGGGTGCTGCCACTAGACCCATTGGGCGAGCTTTTCAGCCCACCTAGTATTCCAACAATCGTTATACCCTGCACCACGGTGCACATAGCACTGTGCGCCCCGCCCTCCCAAAACGACATCGTTTTGTTAAGTTGTGTAGGAAGTTGAAGCGATTATGTACATTCTAGTATACAATTATGTACATTTTTTTATACAATTATGTACATTCGAAACAGGGAATTTATGTGTATTATATTAAGAGTTTATGTGTATTATGTTAAAAGTTTATGTATATTATGTATTATGTTAGATTATGTATATTATCTTTTCAAAAAAGAGTATGTGTATTTTGTTATAAAATTATGTACATTCTTGTATACAATTATGTACATTCTTGTATACAATTATGTATATTCTAGTATACAGTTATGTACATTTTCGAAACATGAATTTTTTTTTAAGAAAATTAACTGTCGACACAGGAAAGCGAAATTCTCAAAAAAAATAAAAATAAATTCAAAACGACGTCGTTTTGCACCAGGGCGCACAATGCAATGTGCGCGTTGGTGCACGATATAAATTTCCGTATTCCAATCTTTTGGTTGTCTCATGCCTAACAACCCATCTTGGTTCTATCATCAATAGTTATCCACACAGCTGTGTAGATCATAGTCGAAAAACGACGTCGTTTTGCTTAATTTTATTTTTTTGTGCGCTCAACTACCACATACATTTTTATAACTTATAATGTATATTATTCTAAAACATAATGTATATTATTCTAAAGGATAATATACATTATTTTAAAACATAATGTATATTATATTATCCAGATGTTTCATTATTCTAACGCGTCATGTACATTATTTTGACACATAATGTACATTATTCTAACACGTAATATACATTATTCTAAAACATAATGTACATTATTCTAACACATAATATACATTATTTTTAGTCATAATATTCACGATGATGTTTTAGACCGTATTCCACACCACACAATAATTTATCGTTCGATCATGGTTTAATTTGGCCCTACTAAGATTTGGGTTTAGTGAGATCTATCAAGTGTGTAAGAACAAGACTGAAATTTATGACTTGAACATATTGAATTGTCCGAGCAACGTGGCACCGATGAGAGCAATTGTATGTGATTGATTATGCAAAGGAGATAATCCAGATAATATATACGATAAGTAGAGTTAGAGACTTAGTCTAGTATGTACAGAAACAGAGTCCTAGTCTACCGTAAATACAAGTCCTAACACTCCCCTCAAGACCAAGGTTGACAACCAACAACATTGAGCTTGTCACGCAAGAACTGAAACCGCTTGCTCGCCAAAGGTTTGGTGAATATGTCAGTAAGTTGGTCCTTAGTAGAAATAAAATTAACATGTATTTCTCCATTTGAAACTTTTTCACGAACAAAGTGGTAGTCAATCTCGACATGCTTGGTCCGAGCATGAAATATAGGATTCGCACAGAGATAAGTTGCACCCAATTGTCACGTACACCATAGACGTGGTGGAGCCGCAAAGGATAGACGCAACTCACGAAGCAGAGAAACAAGCCAGGTGACTTCAGTAGAGACATCCGTAACATCTTTGTACTCAGCCTCTGTGGAAGAACGAGCCATAGTGCACTACTTCTTACAAACCTAGGAGACCAAATTATAGCCAAAGAACACCGCAAAGCCACTCGTTGATTTTCGGTCATCCGGGTTACCAGTGCAATTAGAGTTTGAATATGCATGAATAGAAGCAGACAGAGATTTATGAATTAACAACCCAAGATGCATAGTACCTTTGACATAACGCAGCGCCCGCTTGAGCATAGTCCAGTGAGCTGTGGTAGGCGCCTGCATGTGCTGGCAAAGCTTGTTAACAGTAAAAGACAAGTCAGGCCTAGTCACAGTAAGATACTGAAGAGCCCCAACCAAACTACGGTACTGCGTGGGGTCTGCATAAGGAACAACGAACTCCTCATCCACCTTCGTAATAGAGGA